CAGTTAGAACTGGATATGGAACAACTGATTGGTTCAAAATTGGGAAAGGAGTACGACAAGGCTGTATATTGTCTCTCTGCTTATTTAACTTATACGCAGAATATATCATGTGAAAGGCAGGATTGCATGAATTCCAACCCAGAATTAAGATTGCCGGAAGAAATATCAACAACCTCAGATATGCAGATGATATCACCCTGATGGCAGAAAATGAAGAGGAATTAAAGAACTTCTTAATGAGGGTGAAAGAGGAGAGCGCCAAAAATGGTCTGAAGCTCAACTTCAAAACAACTAAGATCATGGCCACTGGTCCCATCGCCTCTTGGCAAATAGAAGGGGAAGATATGGAGGCACTGACAGATTTTACCTTCTTGGGCTCCATGATCAATGCAGATGGTGACAGCAGCCCCGAAATTAAAAGACGCCTGCTTCTTGGGAGGAAAGAGATAACAAATTTCGATAGTATCTTAAAAAGCAGAGACATCACCTTGCTGACAAAGGTCTGCATAGTCAAAGCTGTGGTTTTTCAAGTAGCGGTGTATGGAAGTGAGAGCTGGACCATAAAAAAAGCTGACCGCTGAAGAATTGGTGCTTTTGAATTGTGGTGCTGGAGGAGACTCTTGAGAGTCCCCTGGACTGCAAAGAGAACAAAGGAAATCAACCCTAAGTGCTCACTGGAAGGACATATCCTGAAGCTGAGGCTCCAATACTTTGGCCATCTCATGAGAAGAGAAGACTCCCTGGAAAAGCCCCTGATGTTGGGAAAGTGTGAAAGCAAGAGGAGAAAGGGACGTCAAAGGACAAGATGGTTGGACAGTGTCATCAAAGCTATCAACATGAATTTGACCCAACTCCGGGAGGCAGTGGAAGACAGGAGGCCCTGGCGTGCTCTGGTCCATGGCATCACGAAGAGTCACACACAACTTAACGACTAAACAACAGCAAAACACTGTGTGAGTGACATGGGCCTCATCTTCTGACACCAATTCTAAACAAACAAAATCATCCTGTTCTCTGCTTTGTGATATTGTTGGTTATGGAGCTGGAGGTCAAATCACAATGAGTGGTAGCTGTGTCCTCTGTTTAGGGTTATTTTTTACTTTTAACTTTCTTAGTCTGAGGAAGATTAGTATGAGGTTTCTTTCTCTTTTTTGAAACCAAAGGTGTCAATGTCAAAGTTTTGAAGTTGGTTCTTTTGATGGTGACTGCTGTAATGATGCCAAAATCTATGGAAGTGATTCTTCTTAAGTATTAGTTTTATATCAATTTGCATAGACCCCACAAGCATTTTTAGCAGGTGATGTTGGTGTTCTATTTTTCCCACAAACAAAACTTAAATCTTGATTGCCTTTTCTTGATGGCTACTTTTGCAGATTCAGCAGGTCTGTGTCTGGTGTCCCTCTCTTAAACAACAGACGCACTTATAATGTCTGTTGTAAAAGAAATTTTATTTTTGCATGTAATGCACTTCTTAAAAGGGCCTGTTTAGGCCATAAATGATGGGAACAGAAAGACAACAAATATTTTTTTATGAGGTGAGAAAAGAAGGACTAACTGTAAGGAGTTAACCAAGAATAAAACAAGTAAACTATTCACAATATCATTTTAGATTAAACTCCCTAAAGACTGTCAAGTGGTTGCCTCAGCAGCAATCAAAATGGAACTGAGATACAGCCATTGGGTTTTATATGACAGGGTGGGGCTAACTACTTTTTAGGCTCCAGAAGGTATCAAGAATGTCTGTGCAGGAGCAGAAAGGTCCATTAGTGTGAATTATAGAGACCACAAAGAAGAATCAAGAGTTGCTTAAGTGAAAGCCAGGAGAGAAGAAATAAAGAAAAACAAATAAAAATGCACTTGAATACCTTGTTTTTTTTATGGTGCTTCTAACATATTGGTGTTATAGAGCTGTATGTAGCTGACTGAATTATACTTCAACAGAAATAAACAGTACAATTTGTTTAAATTACTAATGCAATTCAACCTGATGCTATTGCATCAAAATCTGATCTCTGAAACAGAAGTGGATAGATTTTAATCCAGTAAGATCTGAGGTTTCTTTCATACTCCTAAGGCACTGAATGAACATTCTGAAGCACACAAGATATCAGTGATTACAATAAACTTAAATATAGGTCAAGATAGGGAGTGTAGCAATGGAAGACTACAGGAGATATGGAACTGTTTTCTTCATCATACTGTTTATACAGTCTACATTCTCTTCAACAGCTCTTTTTCTTTGCAGAGTCAGGAAGAAAGGAAAATATAAAGCACAGATATATCCTCAAAAGGGGAAAATACACGTTCTGGGATTTTAACCTGATAACAGTAAATGGAGGAAAAAACATCTGGCCATGATTTTTGTCAAAACAGTACAAGGAAGAAAAGAGTCAGAAGCCTCACTTCTTCTACACTCGTTTTCCAGTTCTAGTTGCAGTCTAAGTTGCTATATTGTAGAAATAAATAAATAAAAGTCACAAAAAGTCTACTGGAATTATTATTACATGTTGTTCTATCAAATATAGCTAACACAAACAAAGATGGAAAGAGTGAGGAGTTCAATGAATAGCATGAAACCTGGAAATGATGTATATGTTCTACAGTTATGCAGAAGACTGCTTCTCATCAACTGTAGTCACAGCAGATGGAAGTTTCTAATATGAGTACAGTGGTGCTCTGCATAACGAGCGATTTGTTTAACAACGAATCTGCATAGCGATGTTTTTTGCGATCGCAAAAGCAATCGCATTGCGATGTTTCTAATGGTAAAACATCACTTTGCGATGATCGGTAAGCGTTTTGCTTACCGATTTTCACATAGCGATGTTTTTTTAACAGCTGATCTGCGGTTCCAAAATGGCTGCCAGGTAAAGAAAATGGCCGCCCGCTGTGTTTTCGCGCCTTTTCCTCACTTACCGGGCAGCAAAAATGGCGGCCACATGGAGGATTTCCGCATAACAGTGATTTTTTTGCCCATAGGAACGCATTAAACGTGTTTTAATGCGTTCCTATGGGCTTTTTTGCCCCACATAGCGACGAATCCACATAGCGATGATTTTTTCGGAACGGATTATCGTCGCTATGCGGGGCACTATTGTAAACTGGAACAAAAAGAGGGGCGCTAAAACCTTTCATACTGGGCAGCAAGAACAGAGAGATACATTCTTAATACAGTTATGCAAAATTTCATAATACAATGAGGGGAAATGCAGCCATTTTAAAAGTACTTATTAGAGAGATTAATCTGTTTAGATCACAAGTCCTCAAAAATTCATATTTACAATTATAATAGAGAATCATAATTTTTTGCAGATGAAAAATTTCATTACATATTTACAAAACTCTACACAAAAATAGAAATAGTTTTATAGTATGAAACCCATTCACACTGACTAGCTTAAAAAGAAAGTTTCCCCAAACTACTTCATTAAGAGACATATTAGAGAAAAATACATCTTGTGCTCAAATGCCTTATTTTGAACTCAAATGTGTAAGAAATCTGTATACAAATCTTTTAATTCCTGAAGATTTTTTCAAATGCTAAAAACATGTTTAAACCATTTAAAGGGATGTTTCCTATGAATGAGTCAGAAAAGAGGGAGGTGAACTAAGATATCTTTGCTGCAATTTAAGAATATTTCTGGAATTTGAACAAGGCTGTTAGGCCTGCCACTGAATTAGTTTTTATCATAGAAGAATGAAATTGATTTTATCTTGTTACTTTCCTCTAAAACAACTATAAAAAAGAAAGCTAATGTAATTGGTTAAATGGCCTCATTCTATTACACAGGGACGCTATAAAAATTACAGACAAATTAGATACTACATAATTTATCTGACCAAACTACTAGTTGATTCTTCATTATCTGGCACCAAGCTGATACATGTAACCAATGAAACCTATACATATGGCATATCATTTGTTTCAGATTAAATGTGAACATCTCTAAAAAGTCTAAAAACAAATTATCGAAAGGCTTATGAAGTAAAACACTATTTTGATTTTTTAGGTACAAGTGGTAATGTGAGCATCGCTTTAGGGTCTGGACTTGGGCTAGTTACTGGCTGTGCAGTTTTTATTTCTTTTGAAGGAACATGTGCCAATGAAGGCATTGCTTTGATATTCTGCCCTTCAGAATCTAACAAAAAGTTAGCAGCTTTTAAGCCAAGTGGTGCCAGCTTGGGCATGGGCCTCCACGTCATGTCAGTTTTGCCAGTTTCAAGGTTGGTTTTCATTTGCAGAAAGGGAGGTGACACATTTCTTGGTTTTGACAGAGATACAACAGTTTTCTTATTTCCAGCATTATTTACTGCTGGAAGATCTGGATTTTGGTCCTTCACTTTTGAGGACAGCATGAATTTCAAAGACTCAGATTCAGATGAAACCACTTCTGAGTTCTTGTTGCCATCAGGTAGATCATCGTCATCCAAGTGAAGTAAGAGAGGAGTTATGGAGTCACTATTCCCTCTAATTACAGAAAGGTCCTTCAAGTTCCCACCCACTGTGCCAAACTGAAAGGGAGAGCTACCTGCAGTAGTTGGTTCTCGCCGATTTTCTGTACTTCCTAGAGAAAAGCTGGGAAGTTCTGATATGTCTGATGCATCATCGTTTAACTGCTGATTAAGAAATGCAATTTCATTTAGAAGTGAGGTGAGAGTTTCATCTGTGTCATCGTTTTCCTCTATGTCCATAAAGTCACTTGTATCCAGTGATGGTTCATGTATCAGAGAGGCTACTTTTTGCAGTTCCATTTCTAATCCAGAATCCTTGGGTTGCTGCAGCGTTTGAAATGAAGAATCCTTTGACTTTTGACGATCATTTTTCTTGTCCATCAGTTTTGCTCTTGTTTGACTTCCAACAGGTTCTTCAATGGAGAATTCTGTTGCAAAGGATGCTGAAGATCCCTTTAAAGTAGAGACATTCACTATTTGTGGAATAATATCTTCCTCATGAAAATCTTGTGCTGTTCCTGTGTTATTTCTAGCTTTTCCAGAAGTTTGAGATTTCAATTCAGAATGAAGACTGGTTGTTTCCTGTGACAGGAAGGAAGGCTGAAATGTCTGGGAATCACCAGGGAGGCTCAAATAGGGATTCTTATTTACACCCAGATTTAAATGTGTGGCTTCTTTAGTAGCTAGTGATGTCACATTTACTATCCTGGGCATCATGAATGAATCTTCATTTTCTGAAAATCCAAACATAGCAAAATGTGTTAAAATACTGGTGAAAATAATTGGAAATGGTTCCTCACTTTCCAACCTGCTTTTTCAAATTGTAACTACTAATCTATGCATTCAGCCGATCAACAGCAAAACAGGATGGAAGAATAAAGACTTGATAAAGAGTAAGGCCACTGCACATTTTCTATATCTGCTTGGATAGACTCATGAGGCTTTCTTTTTCTTTTTCTTATTTTGATAATCTATTTTGTCTAAATATTTAGTTTAGTATTTGATCCTGCAGACATAGGATATGAGCAAAACAGTGTGGATTGAGGATAAGGGGGCAACTACATTGACAATACAGGCAATGCTCCAGGACTGGGACAGTCAAATTTGCATTATTATCTATTGGCCCCATAACATTCAATACAAATAAGCCTGGAGCTTTCCCCTCCAATCCAATTGTCCCCTCCACCAGTAGGGCTTTTATTATTTCTCAAAATTAAACACATTTACATTGATTCAACTTGACCAATGCAATGGGTGGCCAGAAGCTGGCTCTCTCAGCTTCCTAGTTTAAGATGGGGAGAAAGGAAGCAAAGAGGCACTCATGTGGGTGTCAGTTCTCAATCAAGGAGCCTTTTGTCTCCAAATCATTCATTAATTTGTTCATTGATTGCTTGGTGCCAGTGCTGATGCGCTAGAGCAGCTAGAAGGGGAAAAATGCAACTGAGAAGGTAATCAGTAGAAGGGAAGAAATAAGCTGCCAGTCCTTGTTTGTAGCTTGTTAAGGTAGGTTGACTGTCACCCTACTTCCTGCGAATCTGGGCAGCTACAGTAGAATTACCTTAACAAGGTAAAAACAAATGCAGACTGGCAATTTCCTTGACTTGCTCTGCTGACTCCTGTGTAATTTGGTAAAGTGAATTCATCCAGGAAACCTAATTTCCTTGGTGCAACTTCACACCACATCATTTCACATTTTTCTTACTGTGTAGTTGTAATCTTAATTAGTTTAACATAGATTACCACCAAGCAAAGTAGTCATGACTCAGATCCAATTGATCAAAAAAGGATAGAAATGCAACAAAGAATCTGGATCCAAGCCAGTGACTGAATCTGGACAATGTGACAAGACAGGGAACAATGGGAATCTTGACTTCTTAATTCATGTCAGAAGCAATTCAACAATGCTTCCAGAGTGGAAGAATCAGCTGATATGGCTAAGCACAACAAGGACGGAGGTTCTGTAGGTTATACTTTCACATCTGTTGTGCACTGTTAACTTCAATGTTTTTCTGGTGTTGCAGCCTGATACACAATGTTATTATTAAATAGAATTTTCCATATTAAATATGTTCCCCAGTTTCACTTGAAACTAAATATGATATAATCGAGGCCACATCCTGCCTTGGTACAGGGTGCTTTAGCCAAAGAATAACCTAAAAATTGCCCAAGTCAGATTTTGCACTGTGCTTAAAGCTTTGCAGTAAAGAAACAATATTTATTACACCCTGAAAAAAAATACCAATCCAAAAATCAAACCAACCCAAAATATTTCTTCCCTGTGTTGTAAAATCTACCTGAACTTAACTCTGGAGCTACTTCTGCAATGGAAGAAGCAGAACTATTGGCCACAGCAGACAAGGCAATGGGAACTGTAGAGGCAGGGAGGATGCCTTTCACCTGCACTGGCACTGCTGAGCTTGGCAACTGAATCATCACAGAAGTGATACCTTAAGAAGGGGGGGAAAAAAAAACAATGTTCATGCTATCAAGGAAAAATGAAGCAGAGTAATTCTAATTCCATGGTAAACTTTAACAAAAGATACTAGATGAAATGGAACATTGAACTGATCTAGTGTGATAACATTCCAATCTACAGATATAGCCTACATGCCTTCTTTTAACATTTATTTCTTGTGGTTTGTTTTTTTACCAAAGACATCTCTAAAGACATCTCTAAAGACTACATGTTGAAATAAGTATTAGAGCCTTTGTTACAGGAAATGTTTTTATCTTATATATATTGACTAGAATGGGAACTTAACACACTAGACATGAACATTTCATTTCATCTAGTGACAAATATTCAAATTTACCATAGAATATATCTGCTTAATTTTAAAATTACCTTGCTGCACTGTCCTGTTGTTACTGTCATTTTCTGACATGAGTTCAGTCTGCAAGAGTGTAGAAGGCAAAGAAGCGACTTGTCCTGGCACCAGGGGACTTTTGATTGCAAGAACCTGACCATCTGTAGTCATTACTAAGCTAGCATTTGTTAATGCCATGGAAGGTGTATCTCCTGCAAGGAAGCCAAACCAAAGGAGTATAGAGATACATAAGAAAGGACATGAATCCCTTTGCATTCACTTCAATAATCAACCTCTCGGTATTCAAGAAACATACTGTTTTCCATGCTACCCAATTTCAGAGTGTGCCACAAATTTTAAACATTTAACTATGAAACAAATGAAGTGTCTGGAAGTAAAAAAAATTCAAGCGCTATGGAAGTAACAATGTAGCATTTCATATATAGACTAAATTATGGTAGTTTTTGAAAATTAATATTGGCCTATAAATAGGCATACTGGCTAAAAGTTTTTACTTTTAATCTTCTGTAACAGCATGGAGTAATAAAGATATGCAAACACAACATATCCAAGAATCCTCTAAGGCTGGAATGATGTTTTTCATACATTATCCTGTGCAACTTCAGTGATGTCATCTGCTGCAGGCATGTCACAATGTTTTTCCTCCCCTTCACATGCTTTAATTCATTCCCTACATTGTTTCCATTTCCTGGAGGCTTCCTAGTATGAAGAGGAACCCTAGGGATCCAAGAAATCTGGCCAATGGTGGGGTGGGGGGAATTAAAAGCTTTTAATTCCTTTGAAGCAGATGAAGCTGATGACATCACTGGAGCTCTGCTACATAACTTGCAGCAATAGGATTCTGGCCTATGACTTTGATTTTCTTTGGGTGAAGATCAATTAATCCCTTTAACCTACCTATAATGTGGCTTCCTTTCCTGGAAAGTATCAATGGTTTTGTACGCCTGTTGGATAAAACCACCGGTTTCACCTCCTTAGTGACAGAAGGAGGACTGTTTTCCACAGGAGGCTGAACAGTCTCTGTAGCTGTCTCAGTAGTTTCAATAATCTTCAGAGGCTCTTCCAGCTGCTGTTTCTTTTTTTTGGCTTCAACTGCTTTCTGTTTGGCATAAATGTATTCTAGCTTTTTCAGCACTACTTCCTGTGTCTTGCCTATTGAAGAAAACAGCAATCAGATTTCCCATAGCACTGGACATTGTTACAAAAACTTAAAAGGAGATAAAAGATAAGCTAAAATTAAAACATTTTACAACACAAAAATGATAGTATTTCTGACACATATATGATTCTAATGGATTACGTTTTTATTTCTGTAGTATTCATGTATTTGAAAATCAAAGTATTTTACTTTGACCAAAACTCCCCTATTCTTAACAATCTGTCTTGGTGTCCTCCAAACCTCAGGATTCTTTTAATTTGGTATTTATCTCACCTGAGAGGGCAGAAACTTTACGAATCAACGTGTCCTGCTTACGCATCAACAACTTCTTCTGACCTGTAAGCTTGTCTGCTTGATCTGTTAGACCCTGGATCTCTTCAAGGGCCTGGAAAAGACCAAGAAGGACAGGTTACTAACCATAAATGTAGTTCTTTGAATGGTTATCTGTGAACTCACACTAATGGCTTCTACTGTGCCTGTGGAGAGACCTTCATGAAATGTCTATAGCAGTATTTTGGTGATGGCTCCACCTCTCATACTGTGCATATCTGGCAGCTTTGCTTTCCTTACTTCAGTTCCTGTCTCAGTTTAAGGCAGTTGCAAATTAAGCATCTCATAATATTTTCATTGTTATTCACATGTTTTTTTTTAATCTGTTGGCTGAAATCCAGGAATAAACTGCAACTACAGTAGGTCCCCTGAATCGATGGAACTTACATTGCCCAGTCTCCACTGATTCAATGGGCCTACTCCAATTGTGACTTACTACTAGATTTTAACTACTGTGTACCAAGTAGGGATGCAATACTTGTTAAATGATTAAACTTTTTGATTAATTAAAATATTAATGGGCTGATTTTTTAAAAAGTGATCATTATTTTTTTACCAGTAATCATAAATTACACCTATGGATAGTTGTAGGTTTTAACAAAGCATTCCCTCTTTTTTTAGAAACCAGAGGAAATGCCTCTTAGATGGTACTCACTGTGCCATAGACAAGCATCAAATAAATGCAAAAAAACTTGTTCTCTTAATGTCTCTAGAATTAAATGCTATGTAAATTAAAACTACTAATAAACCAATCAACAGACATTAATTGAAACATGATTGAACTAAGATTTTTTAATTAGGTGACTGCCTTCATAAGTTTATCTCTTAATGTCTCTAGAACTAAATGCTATGTAAATTAAACTACTAATAAACCAATCAGCAGACATTAATGGAAACATGACTGAACTAAGGTTCTTTAATTAGGTGACTGCCTTCATAAGTTTATTTCTATTATTATCAATAGTTTTTAATTCCCACCCCCATCCCCAATATCCAGTCCTGTTTACTGTATCTCAGCAAGTGGTGCTGAACTATAAAATACTGACCTGTTTGAGAATAAAGCACTTGGAAACTTTTGGGAGACTGTCTAATTTCAATGTTGCTTTCAGTTTTTCAAAGAGTCCTCTCATTTCCTTCCGACGGCGACGCTCATTTGCTGTGTGGGTTTGTCGATAGTTAGCAAAGGCTTCTTCTGCATTCTTTGGCTTTTTGTTTGGGGATTCAGATTGCTATGAGAGAAAAAACTGACCTTGTAAGAGTTAAAAGTAAAAAGCAAAACTGCCCTTGTAAGAGTTAAAAGTAAAAAGCAACTAAAGCAGTGACCAAATATACATAAAACTTGAGAATTTACATAACTCCCCTTGCCAATACAACTAAGCAACCTTTAAAGGGTTAATGGTTGGAGTGCTCTCAGATACTGCAGTTTTGTACTGAAAAGGAAGGAAATGCAAGAACTGGAGCAAAAGAATTAGGATGATGAAGATTAACAATATAGACCACATTACATATGAGCAACATTCTTATTAGTGAAAACACGGATATGGCTTGTACTGTATATATTATGGAGGCAGTAAGAACATGAAAACTGGCTTAGATTTTAGAGGGAAGTCTATGGCAGGATGAACTGGTGCACCTCTGGAGTGACAATACATGTTATAAAGATAAAACAGATAAGTGAACATGTAATACCTTAGGAGCTTTGGCCATCATTTTATTTGAAGGATCACAAACAAGGTACCTAGGGAATAAAAATAAACTGCTTTAGTTTTGTGGGTTTTGTGTGTTGTTTTGTCTAGAGGCTCACAGCAAGTAATATATATAAAATATGCGAAGGAAAATATGTTGGTACTTACCAACATTCTCTGTAGTGGAGGGCAGACATCCTTACTACAAGTTGCCCCTCCCACCTGCTCAGACGAACATAATACACAAGCCACTGTGTGGACCCTGTGAGCCCTCTAGTGGGCAAGGACAACAGGAACATCAGCCTTGTTGCTATTATCATGCAAGATAATAGCAACAAGGAAAGCCAGGAGTAAGAAAAGAATAATAAAGCTCTGCTTGTTCCAAGCTGAAAAAAATGTGGCTGATTTCCACCCTGAGCTCCAGTGAGCTATACTTCTGGGATATGATGCTTAAGGCTATACTTTGGGTTGGAGCCTTCTGTGTCCAAAAGCAGCTTCCATGGGTGCAAACTGATCCAGTTTATTGTGTTTCATGAAAGAGGAGGAGGCCTGCTATGTGGCAATCTTACTCAAAGAGCCCTAGATCTGAATGATCAAAGTAGCCAAAGGACTGGTGCAGTAGTAATACCCCTAAAGGCAGCGAAACTACATTTTTCGTATTAAAACTTTTAATCCATCTCACTAGAGTGGATTTGGCCACTTTCTTTCCCATACTAGTGGCCTGAAATAAATAAGGAAGGATTCTAAAGTACTGCATCATTTCTAGATAAATCTTCATAGCCCTACACATACTGTATCTGCCGGCGTACAAGACGACGCCTCCAAGGGGGGGGGCGTCTTGTACGCTGGGTGCACTTCATTTGGGCCAGGAAGCAGCTGCTGCCACCATTGAGTGAGTGACGTGGGGCCGCGCCAGCCGGAGAGGAAGGCAGGCGGGCAGGCAGGCGGGCAGTCTGGACGGAGGGAGGGAAGCAGAGCTGGCCATTCCTGAGTGGCCAGAGCCCGCCACCAGGCTGCCCGCCACCCCATGCCGCTAAGCCAGTGGCCTGCTTGCCTGCCCACCACCAGATAGCCGCTTCCCCTCTTCCTTCTCCTCCTCCACTGCCACCCGCCCGGCCACTTCCCCTCCTCACAGGGTCATCTAATACGCCCAGTCGCCTTGTACGCCGGCAAATACGGTACATAAAACATGGTCTAGAAGGGTGGAGAAAAGGCAATATTACCTTCTATGAAAGGCGGAATTAAATCCAAGCACTAGAGAGTCCTTCTGGATCAAACACAGCTCTGGTCTAATAAAAAACATACCTAGTTCAGACACTTTATGGGCCAATGCAATGGTAGTTAGGCACAAGACCTGCCAAGATAAATGTTTAAATGAGACTGTTTAAAACATGGTTCAAAAGGTTTAGTGCAACCTCTGAAATCATATGCATGTTCCAGGTTGGGTATCTATGCACCATGGGTGGTTTAAATAAGATCAAGCCTTTCAATTATCTCTTGATATCAATGCAAAATGGAGAGGACTAAAACAGTTATGATAGAGAACAAGTTGGGCAGCCTAACTAGAGTGGAAGCAAGAACTAGATTGTTTTTGGAGTTACCTTTGCCAACCAGGGTCCACTCAAACTGATTCTAAAGTCATGCCTATCAGAGGGAGTGGATGGGAGAACCTGTGATAATGACATCCTCTTCCACCACAGGAGAAGCAGAACATTTGGGAAAAACAGTGTGCTAAATTAAACATAGTAGTCTCAGTAGGAGCCTCCTCCTCATCCCACGTAGCCCTCTACTTTGCCTAAAAACTCACTCTAGAAGTCTTCCTTGCATTCTTGATTTATTGGAGGGGGGACTGCAGAGGCTACATTCAACATACTTACAATTGTTTGGAAAGTAGAGTGTAGGAAGCTGTAGCCTTCAGACGAGCAATGTTAATTTTCTCCGAAAGTTCCTCCACAGTTTCAACGTCCACAGTCTCTTCAGCTTCACTGGACTGATCTTCATCCTAAAACAGAGTAATCCGACAGTAAGCTTCTGTAGAGAAATCATGGTCTCACTTTGTTAAAAAAAACCACATGCAATAATATTTGAATGGACTATCTGTACCCTTTGGAGGGATGCCAACTCTGCAACCAAACTGATGAGCAGGGTACATTTGGTTGTGCTGAAGGGCATGAACTACCTGAATGGTTACCACTGTGTTTGAAGGATTTTCCCCCCCAGCAAGATTCTGGTCACAATCTGCTGAATTTTAAAATCAAATCAGAAGAGCAAGTTAAGGAACACCTTTCCTCTACAAACATCTGCATTTTAAAGAAGTGATGATAAAGGTCTCAGAAAATATTCTCAGAAAATATTCTTCTTTTGTCTTTACTGAACTACTATAATTGTGTGACAGTTGTCTTAGCCAAAGAAAAACATACAGTATATATATATACCCAAACAAAATTTTAAGCAATTACTAAAAACATTTTTATTTAGAAAAGACTTCCCAGACTCTATCATACCCTGATACTACGGCGCTTAAACAACCAGACTAATGTTCAACCCGCCATGCTTTCAATGCTTTATTTTAATGTCTTCCTGCGATTATTTTCATTTGTCTATACTGTATTGATTATTTATATTATTGTCCTCTTATTGTATTGTTTTGTCTTTATATTTTGTTTTCTTGTACTGTGTAAATTGACCAGAGTGGCCTGGGTCACCAGATGGGCAGTATAGAAAAAACAACAACAAATGTTTAACTTCTGAAAATCTGAATTTATAATTATACACTGAATTTTTCAGTGTATAATTATGACAATTACACAACTGAAAACAATTATCTCATGGTTTGTTGTTATTTCCAATGGTATCCTGTGCTGTTACATAGAATTTTTTTTTTACAAGTAATGGTGTACGTCTCTCTATTCGTATAAAGAATCAGTGTTACTAGATTCCCAGTTGGCATCTGTCTGTTAACAAATCCAGTGCTGAAAGATTATGGGAGTAGCATGCACATAGCCAGGGTTACCTGGGAATCCGGGATGGTGGGACCAGTTTCCCATCTTTTGGGAGGTACTGAGCCATGGCCAACATTACCTTGTCCTCTCCCAAAAATACATCCACACATTTTTGGGTGATTCTCTTACATAACTTACTTGTTACTTATATTTAAATTGTTAGAAACAAATTGCTACTGCAGTGATTAGTTTTGTTATGCACCTGGAACAATATAGCCAAGTATTCTCTCTTTTAGAGCTATCATATTGTTAGCAAATGGCTTAACTCAGGGCTGCACGACGTTTTCCAATAATTAATAACACATTCTGAAAGCAATGCTTAATAAGCCACTGGAATTTTTACCACTATGAAACACAGTTTAGTAGTTAATTTTATTAAAAGAAGGTTAATCAGGTAACTTAATGGGACAGTACAATATAATTTACTAAATATGTTCCTCCTGTAAAGAATTAAATACTAACCATCATTTCAGTATTTACTATATCTTCACTTTGATAGCCAGAAATTTCATCCATCATTTCATCTGCAGAATCATCAGTTTTTTCATCTTTTTCTGTGTCATCTGTGGTAATATCAATAATAAGTGGAGAATTCCTGAGATGGCCAGTTTTTTGTTCACTCTGTTCTGTGCATTTAGCAAATTTCTCCAGAAACTTATCAGTCCCTGTGCTAGTTTTATTTTCCAAAGCAATTGACTGCCTAGATGATTTGCTCCCAGTTCTGCTGATTTCAGCAAAGTTGTTTTTAATAGATAGCTTCTCTTCCTGTATATGAGTATTAGCATTTTTATGCATAGAAGTATTACAGTCATCCTGACAACTGGGATTTGTTTTAGACAAAGATTCTTGTGCACTGTCCACGTATTTGTCTCCTTGTGCACTCTGGAGTCTTCTACTAACAACCTTAGGCTTCCCTGCAATATGTTCCTCTTCTCCATTTCCTGTCATGGAGTCTTTCTTTTCCTCAACATTCCTTATTATTGGTTCTGGATCTTGGTTTTCAAATGAACTCAGAAGAGGCTTAATGTCTTTTGGTAGACCTTCTGTAAAATTTATGTTTACTTTGTGCTTACTCGCTGATTTCTGCGACTGTTCAAGAATAATTCCATCTTCTGCATCTAACAGTAATGGCTCAACTTCTTCTGAATCAGGAGGTGGACTATTTGTGTGGTCAGAATCAGTTGTTTGCTCACCCTCAGAAATGTTTAACTCTGTGCCTTTTTGCTGTTTTAATGTATTGTGTGCAAGGGCTGCACTCTGACTGCATATTTCAGGCACATCATCAGGAGTATGTGAAAGGACACCTGGACTATCTTCAGGACTTTTTGCATGCTGTTTCTTCTTAACCATCACTTCCTTCCTTTCACATGTTTGCTTCTCACAGATAAAGGAGTAGTCCAATGATGACACAGCAGATTTCACGATGGGAACATTATTTGATGTTTGTTCCAACATTTTGGTACCTTTCTCAGCCCTCTTTAATCTTTCACACATAGTTTCTTCAGTATTAGACTGTAACTGATAGGATGACAACTTATTTTCTTCTGATTCCACCACCTTCTTTAGCGCTTGTGAACACGCAGTCTTTTCTTCTACTCTAACGGCACTGATCTCATTGTTCTTAACTTGAAGGGATACAGTTTGTTTCACAATGGAACTTGGGGCATTATTTTGCTCTGGAAACTGAAGCAAGGCAAAACTACCAGAGTGAAGAGATATTAGATTATCTTTGCTGTTTGGCTGCTCACTCTTGCTGCATGTTATTTTATAGTCTGAATTCATACTTCTTATTCCTGATGGAGAAATTCTCAGTGTCAAAGTGCCAGCTTGGGAGACGGGAACAAATGCTGGAGGCATGACAGATACTGCCTGACTCACTGAAATAGGAAGTTCAGGTGCAGACCTAATGGTCTCTGATGTACAGCTTATGGTGGGGTGTGTGGGAGAAACAGAAGTTGTTTCACTGATAAGAGGTGAAGTAGAAGAAGGTTCAGCTACTTTCATAAACATTTCAGCAGTACTGAATACAGACAAAACTGATGAACCCTCAGTAGTAGCAGGTTTGGGTAAAGTAGAAGGGGCATCAATGAGAGAGGACACAGACACAGCAGAACAGGATACAGGTAATACAGATGGTGCAAAAGCAGAAGGGGATGCAGACTGAGTTTTAGCAGTAGGGAGCACAGGTGCAGCAGAAGGAGATACTGTTAATAAAGGGGTACTAATAGAAGACAGCACAGAAAGAGTTGAAGAAGTTTCAACAGCAGGGGGTGTGGGCAAAACAGCAGGGGGCAAAGATATTAAAGGAAAGTCTTTGCAAGGTGTGCTGGGTAATACTGAAGAAACAGAAGTGGTTAAAGTCTCAGACAAAATGGTAGTGGCCTCTGTGCTTGTGGGTGGAGAAGAAGTAGTTGCAGACAGAACAGGAGTAGTAGGAGTAAGAGTAGTTGAGATCACAGATGAAACTGCAGAGGGCTGACATATGGGTGTCTCAGAAGTCTTAGAAGGTTCAGGCAAACGGATTCCTACAACAGACCCTGTAATGAAGTGAGAAACATGATTATTATTATTTTTGTCTCATAATTACTAGTTTTGGTTTAATAAAGTAACTTTATACTACATACATCCTCTAACAAATCTAGTGGGGTAAGTGAGAAATAGTCATTGATGGCAAAACAAAAACAACTTCTGTAGCAAGCAGAGCTATATACAGATTATAATTTTCCTGCTATTTTTTAGAAAATGCTGGTTGGAGAAAATCAATACATAACCCAAATAAACATGGCAAGGTAGAAAAGTAGAAAGAGATCTTATGGGGTAGGGACACTACTGCTCAAGCAAGAGCTGCTGGTAGAAACAATGTAAGTGAAAAGAAGTAGTAGCTGTATGAGCTACTACTCATACTCATACTTGAGTTATATGAAACTCAATGCTAGTACTTGAGTTATATGAAACCACAACTTCAATACATAAAGCTAAGTCCAGCATTCCACTGAAGGTTGCAATGGTACTTTCTTCCTCTACCCCTACAGACTTCTGGGCTGCTGAAAGACTATTACTGAAGGTTTCTGAGCACTCCACAGAGATGGTTTTGGGGATTCGTTGCAGGGCAATGAGGAGGGAAGAAATAAACTCTTGCCAACTCTACCAACTAAAATCCACAGTTGGATCCTGTGCATAGTCACATGTGAATTGTTAATACATTTGTGTAATGTACAGAGATGTACCAATGTTAACAGCTATTGAAAATGAAATTAATAAGCTTGCATTAAACAGAAGGTGCCACAAACAAAATCAACATTTAGTAGCAGGCGGTACAAAACTGACATTGCTTTCCCTGAACTTTTAACAACTGTGCCAGCTCTATGTCTATACGTGACATCCTCTCTTCATGTACATGTGGGAGACACATCGTTGTTATCCTATGGTCTTATTTATCTTCATCTATCTCCCATTTCAACATGGTTTCTGGCTTGGATTTTGATACAGCAAATGCCCTGGTAATCCTAATTTTACTTTCTAGCCTTTTGCTAGAAAGACAACAGGAAGAATATGGCTTAGTGAATTCTCCCAGACTTCTTTGTGGCTTTTAATATTAATGACTAGTGGTGTCTTCCTTGATAGTCTTTTTGAGACAGGAACTGTGGCTCCAATCCAATCCTATTAGACAAATGTAGCCTTATCTCTATCTATTTTCTATTATTTAAGAAAAGGATGTCAGAAGAACATTGCTGTCCACATGTATTGTGGCTCCAATCCTATTAGACAAATGTGGCCTTATCTCTATCTATTTTCTATTACAGTGGTGCCTCGCATAACGTTTTAAGAACATTGCTGTCCACATGTAATAACAACAACAACAACAATTATTATTATTATTAATACTGCTCTCTATACCAGAGGACATTCCAACAGTCAAAAACAGTTAAAATACAACCATAACATAATTACAATAAAAACATACAGTAAGCAATTATCATTCACTAAGGCAATAAACAATCAAAATAGCTATAATAGCAATATAATCTGTGCTATGGTGTTCTACAGGGTTCTATCTAGTTCTTGTGTTATTTAATGTCTATACAAATTGTTTAGTGAAAATACCTGGGGATCTGGAGTGAGGTATTATTGGGAGGTTCCTTTTCATACTTAATTCAGAAGTACTGAATTAAAATTAAGGAGTTCTAACAGTCTGGAAGAGGACTAAGAAATTCCCAGATAACATGGGGGTGTTATGGTTAGGCCTGTTTGCCTCAGTCTATTCTATCTGGGATTGAAGAGACAGGTTTGCACAGTTTACAGAAACTCCTAAACACTGAGCTGACACTGGAAAATTAAATGGTCGTTGTGGCACAGTCTGTACAGCACCAGCAGTGAATGACACATTAATAGAAACCTTTACTGCCAGATTATCTGTCTATAGTTATCAGTGTCATGTTAACCTCCAAGTTAGACTACTGTAACACACGCCAGGTGCTTTTGAAGACATACTTTGCTGTTCAGGCCTTAGACAACTACACCGTTTCCAGCCCATTTTCGATACAATACCAAATGTGTTTGAAGTCCTAAATAATTCGGTGCCTAGCACCTGAAGGACTGTGCTCTCCATTGTATGCTTCTCCACACAGAGAAATAATTATTTTTTGCAGCAAACCTGCCATCTGAAGTTAAGAGAGATGGCAACAGGAAAAATGGTCTTTGGGACCATAGAGAACACTATACTCTTATCCTCAGGTGTGTTTATCCAACATTTAATCTGAAAACTTTAAAATAATATTTATATAATGTGTTGAATGTTCTGTCAATTTTACTGTTTTGTTTTATGACATGTTGTCTTCACCAGCTGCTCTGTGCCATTATTTCTCTATGTATGTTATATATAAACTCTATTAATAAATAAATGTTAACATTCCACAAATAAAAAACAGATGCACTATTATAAGAAGTTGTGTTTCTTACAATATTAATCTGGCCAATCTCAGAAAATGCAAACAAGAAAGATTATATTTTTACCTGGATTACGGAACATTACAGTTTGTGAACTAGGCTGGGAACCAGCAGGTTGGAGTTGATGTAGAGGAACAAGCTGAATAATCTGCCCATTGGGATGTCGGTAGAGATTTGCACCACCAGGATTCCTTATAGGCTGCAAAATCATTCTCTTCCCTTGACCAAGTTGCATGTTTTGTGGAGGTCGCAAAGTAGGAGAACCTGGATGTACTGGAATCAAAAGTAGTCGTGGCCCCATACGTTTTTCTGCTCCAGGAGGCAAACCTGGAGGACTTGTAGTACCTGTAGAGTTAGGAAATAGCTCTCTTCCTAACCTATTTTTACACAGCAAGAATTATAGACCGTTTTATAAAATGACGAAATAAAAGACCTAACGGATAAGATTATCAGTCTTATGTGCCAGAATTCTGTTTCCAAGCCTGGAAGATTTTCGAACATGGCACACAGGAAGTAATGTTTTCCTCCTTGTTCCCATAAATCATAAAATACTTTTCCCAACATGGAATTGCAAGCCTTCTAAAGAACAAAAACCGGAGTTAACAGTGCTGAAAATATTAAATAACCAGTTAAAAAACCCTAACTCTAACCCTAACTTAACCCCTCTCACCAATAAAACAGTCTCTGTCAGCAGAAGGGGTTGGCAAATGTGGCCCTGGGGTTAGGTATGGCCCCCAGCTCCTCACCTGCATTCAAGAAAAAGACAGTTCCTTTGTCTAGAAGCTTCCCTAAAAGATAATGCACCTTTCACGTACGCCTCTATTATGGTTTAAAAGGTTCCCCTTGACAATTTTTGTCCAGTCGTGTCCGACTCTAGGGGGCAGCGCTCATCCTGCTCTTCAAGCCATAGAGCCAGTGCTTGTCCGAAGACAATCTTTCCGTGGTCACATGGCCAGTGTGATTTAGACACGGAACGCTGTTTACCTTCCCACCGAGATGGTACCTATTTATCTACTCGCATTTGCATGCTTTCGAACCGCTAGGTTGGCGGGAACTGGGACAAGCGACAGGCGCTCACTCCGTCGCGTGGATTCGATCTTACAACTGCTTGGTCTTCTGACCCTGCAGCACAGGCTTCTGCGGTTTAGCCCACAGCGCCCAAATACCATTTTTCACAAGAGTTGAAAGACCTGGCAAAAGAGGACTTGTAATCTACCTTTTTTTCCTTTTCACATTTCTGGCTGGCCGTTTGGTTCCCAGAAACGTTCTGAGGCAGAAAACTCTAAACTATATTTGCTGTAGTTTTGAAGACCTTATGAAAAAATTGGGGGTGGGTGGGTGGGTGGAAAGCCCTGTTGTACAAACAGAAGTTGCTTTTTAAAGGGGAAATAATTGTCCCAGTCCTCACAAATATAGGATGGCACATTAACATTAAAACCCCTGTCACACTATGTGTATTTTTTCAATAAAAAAATTATTAAATCGAGCACCTTCTATCAAATGGGGAAAAAACTGCAAGCAGGGTGGCAATGACATATAAGCCGAATAAAATCTACTCTTAAGACACAAACTGTAGTCTATGGCTGTATTTAGAAGTATTTGAACTTTTACTCAACACTACTACTGCATCAGCAATTACACGTAGTAGTAAATCCATTAATCTTAATGGGATTTATTTTAAGGAGACACGTATATTTGCACTGTTAATATTCTGTCAGTCAAATCAACTGCTCTTAACATCTCATCAACTGACCTTCCTTGCCTCTCTTCTACCACTGCTCAAACTGTCTGTAAAAAGATAACTCCAACTCTGGCAACAGGAACTTCTACCCGTAATATTACCTTCAAAGTAGCTGAATAGAAGCAACTGAAAAGGCTCAACAATCAGTCTGTATCAAGCCTGTCCCTGTGCTGCAGCAAAACAACTGCTGAATAGGTCTGGCCACTTAATAACAGTATTTTTGTCTTACATAGAGCTTTTAAAAATTAATTTTCTCAACTACAACCCTGAATTCTCTAGCCAGCATGGCCAGTGGTCATGACAACTAAGGCATTAAGAGAGTTGCAGTTCAAAATGTGAGACTTCCAAGTTCTAGTCCACTGACAGATAAATGAAGAAAAGGGTCTTGTAGCACCATAAAAATGTACAGATTTTACTTGGAAAAGCTTTTGGGAACTGCAGCCTGCTTCATCAGATACTACATCTCCCTGTCGAAATCAATGTAGTGGGTCCCAATGTATTATTCAGCAGAGAGGAGGGGCTCCTACACATACAAACAGCTCATGCTCCCAACTGCTGAAGCCATTTGGTAATTGAAAGCTGGAGACAGCTGTTTTGACTTGCTTCAGATTGTTTGCCCCCCATCCCCAACATCTGGCAACTGAACAACTGCTATTCTAGAAATGCTGAATGATTGTTTCCTTTTAAACTGTGAAATTCTCCCCTCCTACACAGCAAACTAAGTTAAGAATCCACTGTTGAGACTCAAACAAATGTATGTACCAAGGATAAGCCTTACCTGGTTTTTGGTTAGATAAAGAAATTCCTGAAGGACCAGGACCACCACAGGCAACTGCTGAAGGTGGTGTAGTCACTGTGTCTGTTGATGCAGTTACCGGTATGACTGTACACAAAGATGCTGAAGACCCTGGAGTTGATGTGGCTACTACAGACTTGGTAAAAGCAATGGTTGCGACTGGTGCAGCTATTTCCGTTGATTTGGTTATTTTAACAGTAGCTGTAGTAGGTGTGGCAGAACCAGTGGTATTTTCTGGTTTTCCAAGAGCATTCATTATAGCGATGCCAGAAGAAGAGGTAGCATTGTTACATGGTGACAGGCTAGGAATAGTTATAGGAACTGATGGCATAGTAGTGGTTACTACATTTGTCCCAAAAGAGAGTGGTGAAGATTTGATATTAAATATCTGTGGCCCTGTCAAAGGCTGTGGTGTTCTAATTCCAGGAATCTTTTGTTGTAAGGCCCCAACTGCACTCACAACCAGTTGAGAGGTAACACCCTCTGTTGATGGCCGAGCAGCTGAAAAGGAAGAATTTCAAGGTAAGAATATTAAGTTATCCCCTTGCATGTCTACACAGAACAATATCAATAATGGGAACAACAAATCTGCACTACAGATGGTAATCAGGCTGGCTCAGGGGGCCAGCCTGATTACCTCCCACCCTCAGGTTTCACCAGACCACTTACTGCCAGCGTCATCTTCTGTGCCCCAATCATAGCAGTAACTCAGCTGCCACAGCCATGCCTCCCTGCTCGCCCAGCCACTCTGCAGCTGAGCAGGGAGATTCATCCTCCCCCACCCCTTTGCCAGTGTGGCTGGGTGAGCAGAGAGGTGTGGCTGCTGCAAAAGATGATGCTGGCCATATGCACCATGCAGTAAGTGGTCTGGTGGGGTGGGAGGTAATCAGGCTGGCCACCTGTACAAAGCCCCCATCTCTATTCTTCATCTATAAAGACGACTAGGTATAACAAGAATGAAAATTGGACAGTGTAACAAAACCAGTTTAACTCAGTTCTGAAAGGACTAATGGTAATAGGATCTGATGTTCTTCGATGTATGCTGCCAAAGTAAAATTAATTTCCTAGCAGTCAAAACTTGGCATTTTCAGATATGGAGTCAAAAGGGTAACAAAGAAACTAAGTACCTCAAGTGTTCTGCTACTGCCCAATGCACAGGCTAAAATCCTGTTGTGCATCTCTGCATGTGCGATGGGGATGACATCATCATTATCAGATTGCTGATCAAAGGTGATTTCAGAGTGCAGGTGGCTTGAAAACAATACAATGAGAAGGAATCCTTTATCAGCTGCCAAGGAATCCTTTATCAGCTGCACCTGTTGATGTCACCATCATTGTACACACAGAGATACACAACAGGATTTGAGACTCAGGTTTCAAAATGACTCCCCAAATGATTTCCCCTGAAAACTAAAGAATGTCTAGCAGGAGAGAGCAGTGTGTATACTGTAGACCTGAAAGGAACCCCAAAGATTACTAAGTGTAGCCCTATCAAAGCAGGAAATCCCCAGCAAAAATGTTCCTGAGAAACAACATTCTGACATCTGTGTAAAAGAAACTCAGTGAAGGAGTGTCCATTGACTTTCAAGGTAGTCTGTTCCATTGTCAAACAGGTCTTATCAGGAAGATCTTCCTCACATTCACTCAAAATCTTCTTTCTTGTAATCTGAGTTCATTAGTTGGATCCTACTCTGTGGAGTTGCAGACAACAAACTTGCTCTATCTGCCACATGATACTACATAAAATATTTCAAGACAGAGGGGTGGAGCAACAGGCAGCGAGAACAAGGGAATTCCTAGGGCTCTGGGAACCCCTGAGTTTTACTCTGAGTCAACAGACCCTCCAGGAGAGGGAGGGCAAGTTTTCACAGGAGAGTGGACTTGCAGTAACTAGGACTTGGAAACCGCCGAAGTTCAGACGGCAATCTGCCTTCGGAAGAGTTTTCCTTCCTATCAAGCAACTGACTCGAGAAGGTCACCATTATGGTGAGTAGCTGCCCGGAGAGAGGGGAGGTGTGAAGATTTATGATCTGACTGCATGAACAGAGACTAAAAGAACTGCTATTTAGCTTCAGCAAGTAATAGATCAGACTTTTTTTGGAGGCTGATATCAAGGAGAAAGACTAAACTTAAAGTGGCATAGAACTTTGGTAATCCTAAAATACCGGAATTTTTTTACTGTGTCACATCTGAGAGGAGTGGAAAATGAAACTAGCTCAAGACTTTAATGGAGAGACTTCTCTCTCTCAACTCCTGTCCTCCAACGAGTGGAAAAATTGGCTTTCTATAAATTAGAGGCTTGAGAAGTCCGAATAACTCTGAACAATTTAGCTCAAGTGACTCTGAACTTGCATTGAACTGCAAAGGCGGATTATAAATCAAACATCATCCTCATTACGCTGGAGTTATGACTGGAGTGGTCTGTAGGAGTCTGAGTTCAAGCTGGCCAAATAAATTATGAGGTGAACTGAATAATTAGCTTGTTTGACTTTTTGGCTCTGGACTGGGAAAGAAAGCCACATCTAGGAGATAGAGCGTCAGATTCATAATTAAACCAACAATGGAAAATTACTTCAAGAACTGTATTCAGGAATTCCAATTGAACATTATTAATCAAATCAAGGCCCAGATCTCAGAAGTTAAGGCAGAAATTAAGGAGATACTTTTTGGATCGTATCCCAAGGGAAAGAACAGGGAGACCGAAGACAAACCAATTGGAGAAACCACTGAATAACTGATATCATCAGAGAGAGAGAGAGAGAGACCGTTTTCCTTAGAAAGCAGGATGAAACACTGAAAAAAGGAGAGTAAAAAAATAAATTTGTATGAAAGGGAGGGGCAGGTGGATGAGTGGGGAAAGTACATTAAGATTATCTTGATGGGAAAGAATGTAAAGGAGGAAGAATATGTCAGGGCGAAGCTGGATAGGGCAGAAATTTCTCACCATAGATTAGACATATGCATGACTCCGAAGACAAGACATTAATTGGGATGAAATTAGTAAACCAGAGAGAAAATGGTTTTAAGAGATTTTATAGATGGCATTTTAAAACTGGTAAAAAGAAGGCAAGAGACTAATTTTGGATTTATGACACTGGAGCAGATAAGCACAATTTAAAATGGGGAAAGTTACTTGCTGAACACAATAGAAATCATTGGTTTGAGAAACACATATATACATATAAATCAATATGGTTAATATACTTATAAGCAATTCTTATAAGCAAAGGAGGAAATTTTGCAGTCACACCCAGTAAAATGCCTGTGGAAGACATCACTGCGAATGTGGAATCAGCACTATATCATCTTCCAGAAGAAAAAGCAGAGGAAATAAGAGGTGAAGTGACTAGGATCCTATGGAAAACAAAACCCCCAAAACCAACATAACAAGAAAGGAGAGAAATGCCATCAAATCCCTGAACTCAGACCCGGACATCATCATCCTGCCAGCAGACAAAGGCAATGCCACAGTAATCATGGAAACAGAAGAATACAAGGACAAAATCAGGGAAGTTCTAGACCCCACCACCTACAGAAAACTGAAACGGGACCCAACCAACAAAATCCCAAAACGAACATGCTGATCAGGAGTTCCTCCCTGCACCCCAACGTCCTTCAGCGAATCTGCAGGACAGAAGCTCTCCCACCAAGACTATACGGATTCCCCAAAATCCACGAAGACTCAATCCCACTCAGGCCCATTGTAAGTGCAATCAGCTCCCCAACGTATGAATTAGCCAAACACCTAGCAGCCCTCCTACAGACCCACATTGGACAAACCTCATCCTACATCAAAGACTCAGGACATTTCATAAGCAAGATCAGCACCCTAAAACTCAAACCTGGGGATAGACTGATCAGCTCTGACATAGTATCCCTGTTCACTAAGGTACCGATAAAGGACACCCTGCACTCATCCAGCAGATCTTTCCAGAAGACATCAAGGCCCTTTCCCAACACTGCCTAACGACCAGCTATTTCCAGTGGGATAATGAATTCTATGAACAGATGGAGTGGCCATGGGGACCCCCCTCAGCCTGGTTACAGCAAACTTCTACATGGAGCATTTCGAAAAACTTGCCCTGGCTTTGGCACCTCTCACACCCACAGTCTGGTTCTGATATGTGGATAACACCTTTGCAATTTGGAGTCACAGTGAAGAAAAATTGGAAGAATTTCTCAACCATCTCAACAGCATCCACCCAAATATACAATTCACCATGGAAAAAGAAACAGAGGGCCAACTCCCGTTCTTAGATGTCATGGTCATACGCAAAACTGACCCCCGACTGGGACACAAGGTCTACAGAAAACCCACCCACACAGACCGGTACCTACACAAAAACTCCAACCACCAACCACAACAAAAAAGAGGCATAATCAAACACTGGTAGACCATGCAAATCAGAACTGTGAAGCTCCGTTTCTCAGCACTGAACTCAACCATCTGAATTGGGCCCTACAGGCAAATGGCTACTCCAAAAATGTAATCACAAGAGCTATCAAACCAAGAAAACAACACATCATTACGTCAGACTGCACAGGGAAGCCATTGAAAACCACAAGCACCAGCAAGAACTTCAACAAAAAAGAGGAAAGTTTGAAACTCAACAAAACTTGGCTTCCAGCTCTGAAAAATATAGCGTGCAAAAGGTCAACGACCTCTACCCAGCCATAAGGACCGGGGATCACTACACACAAAAGACCAGCTAATGACATCCCTCAACCACAGTGACAGATAATCTCCTTACCTTAGCACAACAATACACCCACAACAAGACACACTAATCACCCATTTCCTGAATAGGACAAAAGCCTATCTCACAGCCATAAATACTCCACTCCCAAGCAAACTACACCAGAGCACAGAGTGCTGTCCTCTGAAGATGCCAGCCAGAGACTGGCAAAACATTAGGAAGAACAACCTTCAGAACACGGCCAAAGAGCCCGAAAACCCACAACAACCAATTCTGGCCATGTTTGGATTTTAATGGTAGACAAGCACATTTAACTATGAACTTAGAAATGCTTATGATGAATATAATATTAGATGCTATTGTTTCTAAGGCACTCTATTAAACATATGTGAATTAAAATATTGAATATGCAGATAAGATTAGACGTATATGCTTATTTTTAGTAATGTTGATTTCTGATTATTTATTGACCATGTTTGGATTTTATTGGTAGATAAGTATATTTAACTATGTAATCAGAAATGGTTATGATGAACATAATATTTAGAGGAAATTGATCTTGAGGTACCCATATGGAGATATTAACATATATGAATTTATAACAGGTGCATATAGATAAGGTTAGACATATATAACCTTTTGTTTTTTCGAAATGTTGGTTTTGAAGATTGTAAACAACACAAGAGGCGACTCTACACATGAACAGGTGCAATAAGGTTAGACATATATAACCTTTTGTTTTTTCGAAATGTTGGTTTTGAAGATTGTAAACAACACAAGAGGCGACTCTACACATGGAAATCA